AAAAAAAACTAAAACTAAGTTTAGGTGATATAAATATATCATATATCAAATGAACGCTCGAGGCAACACACCAACTGCAGCAAAGAGCAGTTTTTTAAATGCATAGAAAGAATGCTGAAACAGATCTATGTTAACACGATTTGCCGATCTTGCCATTCTCAATAAAGGAGAGTTTTGACAGGCATTGGTTCTAGGAGTAGGTGTCATAAATAGAAAATCAAAGCGAAGTAATCTCGGAGGAACGTGAACACATATAGAACCAACAAGCATTGGAGAATCACACTTGTTGTTCAAAAGTTTGTAAAAATATAATATATCCCCACAAAAGCGACGCTGGTTGAGGGTTAACATACGAAAAGAAGTGCAAGTTGATTCGTAATCAATGTATTGAATGGAAAATTTAAAACAAAGGTATTTGAGGAATTTAGATTGAATACGCTCAATTCTAGATTTATACGAGAGATACTGAGGATTCCAAACGACGCTGCAGAAGTTAAGTGTGCTGTAAACATAGGCAAAATAGAGATTTCTAATTGCAGCAATGTTTGAAAAAGCTACCGTTGATCTCATAATAAATCCTAACATACGCCAGGCTTTGGAGACAACAGTATCGATATGTTTATCAAATAATAATTTATAATCAAATGTAACACCCAAATCTCTAATAAATGAGGCACGTTGCAACCTCTCGCCAGCGACGCTATAATTGTAGTGGATTGTGTTCACCCTCCTAGAGAAGGAAATAATATTATACTTTGGTAAGTTTAATGAAGGGCGATTATTTAAGCAAAAAGCATATAGATTGTTTAAGTCAGATTGCAGTCTAGAACAATCAAGAGGTGAGGAGATACGGAGAAAGAGTTTTAAATCGTCGGAATACATTAAACATTGGGCATAATTAACGACGTCAAATATGTCGTCAACATATATATTAAACAGTAAAGGACCCAGATGGCTACCATGTGGAACACCAGAAGGAACCAACACTGGATTAGAAAAAAAATCATTAACCGAAACAATTGGGCATCTCTCCTTCAGATAGGAAGCAAGCCATTGCAAAAGTTGTGATTCACTCGGTCGAAAACTTTACTAAAAAAGAAGATAAGATATACTGGGTATATTCAAGCAAGTTACTCTCAACCGAGCGACCAGCAAAAAGAAAACATGTTGTCTACAATTTATTTTAGACTTAAGGGCAAAGATAATATCTAAATCTTAATTAATAATATCTAATCAGTTCCGTTTGATAACGTGATTTCCGGTGATAATGGCCAGGAAAAATTGGCGCATATCTCAGTTTATGATGCAAATGAGTTAAACTTACGAGTCTTTGGTTTTTTGAACTGGAGCGTAATATCCATCTAATTGACAAGTTGGAAGTGATATTCCAAAAACAACGTAATCGACCTCTTCTTCAAAAATACTAGCAGCTTCTAAAGTGTCTAAATATTCTTTTTCGCAAGGGTTATAATAATTTTCTTTATGAATTTCATAATCAACTAAGAAATATAAATATAAATAAAATAAAACGAAACATTTTTAGTAACATTATTTCTTATACTCACAACATGGTAATGTCTCATTAGAAATCATAGTGATATTTACTGTGTCTTGAGAGGGATAAGTAAGCGCACCATCAACGGCATCAACACAAAAACATTCATCATCTATACATTGCACAGTATCATAATCTCCGTTTGATTGGCAACGTAAAAATTCACCAATTTTTAAATCTCTTCCAAGAAATGTTGAAACCTCTTCATAAGTTGTTGAGCAGGCTAAAAAACGTTGGTAATTTAAAAAAAATTTTGGAATAAAAGTGTATTATTACCGCAGTTTAAAACGTGGTTAGCTATTGAAGAATACGGAATATCGCCGAAAATTCTTTTATTTTCATTACTACGACAATAACAACTAAAAATTAAATAAAAATAAAGTTGTTTTGTCAAAATAATTTTTTTTTTAAGTTACTTTTCACCAGGAATACATTTGTAGTGTCCATATAAACCTCTCCTATCGCATATTTCACGCAGTTCCATATGGCCAATTGTATCGTTATTAACTTTTTCATCGAAAGCGAATTGTGCTTTGGTACATTCAGTATTTGCTGAAATTAATTTTTATATTAACGACACCAAGTTAATTTTTATTAAATCAAAATTAAAATTATTGATCAAAAGTGTAATTAAAACTTTAAATATAAGTAATGTTACAAGATGCAACAATAAATCCGATTTAAATGGAAGATGCCACTCTAAGTACAACCTCTTTTCAATCTAGACATATGAAGTATGAAACAATACTAAAAGGATAGGGAATGGTAATGGGGCGAAGAACAAATAGAGAACAAAATGGGGAAAGGAAGTTACTTAAAGAAGTACCTACTTAGAAGTAACTACAGATTAGGATATTATGATGGAACGGATATTACAGGAATTAGTATATCTTTTAGGTTTTGGACACAGCAGATAATAATCAAGTTGTTCCACCCTAATAGGACTTTTTTCATTGAATACAACTTTATTTATATCAAGTTTGTCATTAGTAACCTCATTGTAACAATCCCAATACGATATATAAAATCTCTTGTTGCAGTTTCGGCTAGTTTTGTTCTTTTCGCTTGTAATTCATCATCACATTTATTACTAACAGAACTGCCGCGGTTATCACTTTCAATTATTGATTAAAGTATCCTCTTTTTAATGCAAAAAGCCGTTTTGTAAAATTGCTTTTAGTTCTTGAGAAATAAATTTTTGAAATGATTGACAATTTTTTCGAATTTTTCAATTTTCGCCGATTAAGTTTTAAAAATTCGTATAAAATTCATTTTTTGGAATATGAGTATGAAAATGTCCCAAAGAGTTAATAAAAGTGTCCTCTTTCTAATGAACTAACACGATTTGAAAAATTACTTGTAGTTTTTGAGAAAACAGTATTTGAAGTTTTGATAAAATTTTCGATGTTGCAATTTTCATCGATAACTTTCAAAATTCGCTATAAAATTAATTTCTTCAAGGATCCTTGTGGAAATATCACCAATTATTAATTAAAGTATCCTCTTTTTAATGCAACAAGCCGTTTTGAAAAATCACTTTTAGTTCTTGAGAAATAAATTTTTGAAATAATCGACAATTTTTTCGAATTTTGCAATTTTAGCCAATTAAGATTTAAAAATTCGTATAAAATCCATTTCTTGGAATATGAGTATGAAAATGTCCCAAAGTGTTAATAAACGTGTCCTCTTTCCAATGAACGAACACGTTTTGAAAAATATCTTTTAGTTTTTGAGAAAACAATATTTGAGGTTTTGATAAAATTTTCGATGTTGTGATTTTCATCGACAACTTTCAAAATTCGTTATAAAATTAATTTCTTCAAGGATCCTTGTGGAAATATCACCAATTATTAATTATAGTATCCTCTTTTTAATGCAACAAGCCTTTTTGAAAATTCGCTTTTAGTTCTTGAGAAATAAATTTTTGAAGTGATCGACAATTTTTTCGAATTTTGCAATTTTCACCGATTAAGTTTCAAAAATTCGTATAAAATCAATTTCTTGGAATATGAGTATGAAAATTTCCCAAGATGTTAATTAAAGTGTCCTCTTTCCAATGAACCAACACATTTTGAAAAATAACTTTTAGTTTGAGAAAACAATATTTGAAGTTTTGATCAAATTTTCGATCTTGCAATTTTCATCGATAACTTTAAAAATTCGCTATAAAATTAATTTCTTGAAGGATCCTTGTGGAAATATCACCAATTATTAATTATAGTATCCTCTTTTTAATGCAACAAGCCGTTTTGAAAAATCGCTTCTAGTTTTTGAGAAATAAATTTTTGAAATAATCGACAATTTTTTCGAGTTTTTCAATATAAAAACTTAAAATAAAAAAGTATATAATAAAAACTCTTTCCAATGAACCAACACGTTTTGAAAAATAACTTTTAGTTTTTGAGAAAACAATATTTGAAGTTTTGATAAAATTTGCGATGTTGCAAGTTTGTTGTTTTTGATAGTTCAGACAATTCGCTTCGCATTATCATGTTAATGATGCGACAAAACGGTGAATCACAAAAAAAGTAAAGTTATCAAGAATGAAACGTTATCATTATTAACGTTATTCTTATCAACTTTAATAAATAAGATAACTCACATATTAATTGACAAGTTCCTTCCGGTTCTTTTTCTACTAATTCTTCACAAGTCAATGCGTTGCCACAAACTGAACCACTCGGAGATAGTCCAACATCGCCTACCGTGCAATCATCTCCTTCAGCTAACAATTAAAATAACGCATCAAACTATTTTAAATTACAATAACCGCTTTTGTATTTACCCAAATTTTTCAAACAATAATCACAACAATTACACGGTCCCGGATATGGGAGGAAAATTCCGCTGTGTGTCGCATTTTGGATTCTACATTCTTCAGGAACGTTGTTATTTGCATTTTTGCAATCCTGTTTCTATAATTATTAAAAAAAATGTATGGGTTGAAATAAAATTTGTTTGTTTGTTCTTACGCTGCAATAATCTTTGGTACATAGAGTATTTTCGTCCGCACTATACACGGTTATTATTAACGCGAAAAGAAAATAAAAACTTAAACTTACGCGTGTCATTTTACTTTCATTTAGTTCAAATAGAAATTGGATAAATAAATAGAAATTGAATGCAATCGTTTTAGTTGAAAATGATTAGATTGTGGGTTCTTATCTAGATAAAAATATGATGAACAAGTTGAACATGTAGATATCGATATATTTCAGATAATAGTCATTTACAATAGGTAAAGTATTATAGTGTGTGAGGAATAGATTATTATGAATAGATTACATGCATTTTTTTATACAGAATGCGTAGATATAAATACATATTCAAACATTTATTTAGTTAGAATTTAGAATGGATTTTTATATTCTTTTGTTAGCATTTGTACTCAAGAAAGAGACGTAACAAAAATACATTTTGATACTTTTACAAGTACACTTTTGGATTTAATTCAAATTATTTAACATAAAATAAAAATATATTAATTAATTAAATTTAAACATCGCTTTGAAGATATTTGTATCTTTTTAATTTCATTTTGTGTCCATGTCTTTCAAAGAAATTATAAAGGAATGTTAACAATTAAATTTATTCTCTTTTCATTCTTAGTCTAAAATTTATAATTAAAACATTCTGTATAAATAGAGAAAAATTAAATTTCCAATGAATATGTATTCAACAAATATAAATTAAATTTTCTTACAGTATCATTTTTATATTTAAAAATCGATTTTTTTTTGTGACTAGATGATACAATGAATTGTAGATGAGAACATGTAATGTTAAAATACTTCCAATTTAATTATTTATTTATTCAAAACATTCCAAGTTCTCCAGTGCTGTAGGTTTTAATAAAAATTAACAAGTTCAACTTTTCTTTCTACTAGATCCGACGTTTTCTTTTAAACTCGTAATAATTCACAAGAAAGAAAAACATCCTAACAAACAATGGTATATATTTAAATAATAAATAATTCATGCATCTCTTATATACAAATATCAACTTATTCTGTTTCTTTTTTATACACGAGCTAATGTACAACGAGTAACTAAATTGTTTTTTTAAAAATCGTATTAATAATAATAACAATAAAATTAATAAATTTACTAAAAAATCATTTACATTCTATGTCTTAACGGTTTAGATTCTGGAAACTAAAAGCTACTAGTTACACTGTTATGATACGCTAAAAAAGGAACAACAAAAAAGATCTCCAAACTAAAAAAATAAAACAATAATTAATACCTACGCAATTTAAAATATTAATAAATAATGCGGGTAACATGTTTAAGCTGTATTTCTTTTTTAATATTTGGTAAACTATTAAGAGCTTAGTTAAAATCATTTTATTCATCCATTTTCTTGGATGAAAAGAAAACTTAAATTAAAACCCATTTTCTTGCAATCATTTTGAATATGTATATAGAAGGATTTGTAAAGATTATTATATACAGTCATTAAAATAAGTCTCTGTAGAAATACACAAAAACTTATTTTCATTGCTGTTCATATATATATTTTTTTTACACCAGAAGCCAGGCACGAATTGATTTTCAATGTTATACAACATTCAGTGATTATATTATAAATATTTAACGTACCATTTACTACTAATATACTGGTTTCTTTTCCAATCTGTGATTCGTTATTTTTGTTTCTTTCATCTACACCGTTTTATTTTAATACTTATTGTCACCCTTGACACGAAAAACCACGTCTGTAATAATGCGACTCAATCGTACGTACTTTTTAAAACTCTGTACAATATAATTATAGTTTTCTAAGTTTCGGGAAAAATTTAGAAACGACCTACACTATTAACCATTTTTCAAACATTTTTGGGTTTTTCCAATGGCGAACGACAACAATAGTAACAAGTTGTGGTTTAATAATTAATAAGAGATAGGTAAGAAGAGTAAAGAGGTTTTTTTCTTTTTTTTTATAAAGCTTATGATCAAGATCCTTTGTTATTGGCCGTTACACATTGAACCTAGTTTCTGATCCATCCGCTAACATTAATGTTACCATTCGATTATTGATCCAAACCAATTTAGCTAAACGCATTGGGTTTAATCTTGAAACGTCTGCTATTGGAGCTGTACTGTACGATTTTATACAACGTGTTTGAGCTGTTCCAAGTCCAAACATGCCTATAAAATAAATATAGATAAGGGACATTATTAGAAACTTGAAATCAGTAAGTCATGATAAATTAATTATTTATTTAGCAATAAGTGACGAGTTTTTTGAATCCTGGAAAAGTCATTTGCGTAATTAGCGGCAAACAGTGACGAACACAACTCATAGCTAATCATTGTATTTTTATCTATTTCTTATTGTTTTAGAATAAATCTAAAAATAACATTTTTTAAATGAAATTTACAGTTTCCTGTAAATTACGGAGTATTACTTTTCTGGTATTTAAAAACAAATAATTATGTTTATTACACCAACTGTTAATACGGAAATATTTAACGGATTGCATTGTTTTGGATTGGAGAAATATGTCGTTTTAATTTTTAGTTATAGTACCGTAATTTACAGGAAACTGTAAATTTAATTTCTTCGACGACACTTAAAAAAAAAGTTTATTTTTAGCTTTATTCTAAAACAATAAGAAATAGACCTCTCGAACCCTATATTTTTGTAATCAGAAAAAAATAACGAATTTAATAAGCGAATAAAAAAATTAAAATAATCGAAAATTCAGTTGTCGGCTATGAAATTGTACGTCAACTTGACAAATAGGTTATAAACTTATTTGACAACAAGACTTTATAACCTATTTGTCAAGTTTGACGTACAATTTCACAGCCGACTACTGAATTTTAGATTATTTTAAGTAACGTTAATGAAATACGTGTCTTTAGTTATGTGAGTTTTCTAAAAAATAATAAGAGTCAAAAAAGTTTTAGAATTAAATTTCACATGAAATGAGGTAATAATGTATTAAATCCGCCAAAAGGTTAAAAAAGTCTGCCAAAATTTAGGGTACCATCACCCTTAATCAACCCGTTGAAATGTCTCAATTGGTCTCAACTTGCTACCAATTAATACCCTTGGTACACTCATAACATATACCGAATTTGATTTTTCTATCTTAATGTACTTCGAAGATATTAAATGTTTTAAAAGTTTAAGACTCAACTTTGAAGGCCTATAACTCCTCAGGGGTACAACTTAGTATAGAGATAACTTGTGTTAAATCATCTTAATTTATTGTACTCTACATGTCCCTGCTCTGTGTCGGTTCACCCTGTATTGACGTTGTTTTTATGGCAAAAAAAAATTATAAAAGGCAAAAAATTTACACATTAATTGTTGATTTATAAGTCCGTATTTATATTATGGTATGTATTAAAGAATATAAATGTATTATAAACAGGTTTTGAGTCATACATGAAGGTTTCGGTCATTTTTGAAAAATACAGGTCCGTAATGATAATTTTGTGGGAATCGAAATTTTTTTCATCTTTTCAATATTTCAATCTTTTCGGTTTTTCGTGAAATTATGGAAATATTCAATATAAGACGGCTAAACCTGAATGTTTCTACTTGTAGGTCTAATGCTAGTTCTAGTGACAGTTGTAAGTAGTGCTAGTTAACATAAGATATCACTATCTTGCATATTCTAATTAAACTAAAACTAACACTAGACCGAGAACTAGAAACATTCGGGTTTAGCCGCATGTCTCTCAAGACGGCTAAACCCGAATGATTCTAGTTCTAGGTCTAGTGTTAGTTCTAGTTTTATACTAGCACTATCACTAGAACTAACACTAGAACTAGAATCATTCGGGTTTAGCCGTCTTGAGAGACGTGCTCCTCGTATCTGACTACTGCTAATTGTATCTAAAATTACTCTCTATAAGATAGCATGACCAGATTTTCTTGCACTCATTTCCTAAAGACGGTTTTCTCACCACCTAACGAAAATATTCGCTAAAAGAAAACGCAAATGTGCTTCTCGTATCTGACTACTGCTAATTGTATCTAAAATTACCCTCTATAAGATAGTGTAGCCAGATTTTGTTGCACTAATTTCCTAAAGACGGTTTTAGCCACCCCCAAACGAAAAAAATTCGCCAGAAGTAAACGCAAATGTGCTCCGCGTATCTGACTACTGCTAATTGTATCTAAAATTAATCTCTATAAGATAGCGTGGCCAGATCTTGTTGTACTCATTTCCTAAAGACTGTTATCCCACCCCCTAACGAAAAAAATTCGCCCCAAGTAAATGCAAATGTGCTCCGCGTTTCTGACTACTGCTAATTGCATCTAAAACTACCCTCTATAAGATACCTGGTCTGGATATTTATGGACTAGATCTCTGATAACAGATTTCCCACCCCTCGTAAAAAAAAAGTAAACTCGATAAAGTACTTCTGGTTAATCAAATCGCAACAATCTCCTCACAATACTACATCATCAGCCAAATCTATAGCAAAATAAATTTTGTCCACGACTACCTTATAATATATACCTTATGAATAAGTTTTCTACAACAAAATAGTAGTCATTTTTCACGGAGTGAATAATAATCATTATTCACGGGTAGCCATCTTGACCAGACTAATAATAATTATTTGAAACGTTAAAAGTTCAAAAAACGTCAATTTAATTCAATTTTTTAGATGTTTACAAATGTTTGACAATAAAAAAACCTAAACAAATTCCTTTTTTCGTATGATTTAAGCATAAATTAATTAATTTTCGTAAAGAAAATGACGTTTTATAAAACTGACATTTAATTTTGACAAATTGTTGTGAAGTTGGTTGGGTTGGGCTGACATTTAATTTTGACAAATTGTTGTGAAGTTGGTTGGGTTGGGTTGGGTTGGGCTGACATTTAATTTTGACAAATTGTTGTGAAGTTGGTTACAGTTAGTAACAATGAATTTGTGTCACATTGACGTTTAACCTTTATTCAAAAATGTATTTAAAAAATAAATTTATGGAATCAATTTCAATAGTCGTGGAAAAAGTATAGTATTCTACTCGCATATAATGAGCTATTATTCACTCAGGTTAATTATGCCACTCGCTACGCTCGTGACATAAACTTAACCTTCGTGAATAATAGCCATCATTATATGCTCATATAATAATATACATAGGTACTATAATGGGAAAAAAATAATGCAAAAAATTAAATTACACAAACACTTACGGCTCTTAAAAACTACAAATATTGGTCAATAAAAGCACATTGGATCAATTAGAAAGAATAAATAAAAAATGTTTATTAATATTATTTATTAATTTTCGCAAATCTAAAAAAAGGGTAGGTAGATGCGAGACAGCGCACAACGATAATAAACTTATTATCGTTGTGCGCTATGACGAAGAAGAGGTGTATACCGAAAAAAAGAAAGAGCCGACCGAAAGCAAATCAGATAGAAAACCAAAAATTTTTTTAATAATAAAATATAAATAAAAAAATTGGTAAAGATCTGTTTAGTAATTAAACAATTCATTGTCAATGTTTCTTAATTTCGAACAGTTCCAGATCCATTTTAAAATCACTATCACATTTGTGAAAGCGTTCCATGTCCTCATATTTAAAGTAATCAAAATTAAAATAATTTCAGATACAATTTTAAGTAGTCAGATCAGCAGAAATGTTAAGTAGTCAGAAATGACTGCAAGAAAATCTGGGCACGCTATCTCATAGGGAGTAATTATAGGTATATTTTACAATCATCAGATGCGCGGAGTACAATCTCGTTTACAAGTGGCGATTTTTTTCTTGAGGGTGGCTAAAAGTGTCTTTAGGAAATGACTGTAACAAAATCTAACCACGCTATTTCGTAAGGGGTAGTTTTAGATACACTTTACAGTAGTCAGATTCGCGGGGCACATTCTCGTTTACGTCGGGTTATACTTTTTAATTTACCTAAAAATGATCGTGTAAAACTGACTTTAGCGTATACTCGGATGTCTTCGGTTAAAATGTTTGGCGTGCTATTTTCACACCGGTCATATTAATACGGACCTGATGTCATAAAATTTATGACACGCGCCCAATCGTGTTATAAAATCGGGCGCGCCCGCTCGAAATTTAACGCATGACTCATTAAGTAATTAAAAGAATAATAAATTACCTGTACTGCTTTGCCAAAAACAAAGTTTATTTTCTCCACAAGCATAACTGACTAAGTATTTTCCATCAGGGCTGAAGCAACAAGCTGTTATTGGAGATGAATGAGCGGATATTGTTGTACATTTCGCTTGCCTTAGTTCGTAAATTGTTAATGTTCCATTTGATGCACCAACTAAAAATTTTTTTATTAATATGAATTACTTTGATTCTTCTAAAAAATTTTTTATCAAAACTAACCTGCTATCCGTCTTGTTGTAAAACAATGTGATAATTGGTTAAATTTACAAATAACTGGAAAGACCTCTTGAAGAGTTTTAGATTTTAAGTGGCCTGGATCTAAGCAATGCAAAATTATATCCATTAACTAAAAAAAAATAATTTTTTAAATTACGTTTTATAAAATAATAATAAATGTATTTACTTCTACTAATAAATCAGTCATCTCTATGGGTAATTTATCTATAAGCATTTCCACACAACGTAATATTTCTGGTTTAGCTTTATGTAAAACAGTATTATTCATGTTAACATTAAGGGTCTGCGCATTTTGTTGCATCGCATTATATCTGGCTACTTCTCTAGCCATTGTTGTTATAAAAGCAGCCGGTCTAGCTGTCGCTATTAAAACCAAAGCATGTCTTGCAGTTCGACATGAATCAACATGTGGTGTCAATGGTAATCCATAAGTCATATTTGGCACTAATTTATCAGCTTCTGCACATAATTCTAGTAAACCTAAAATGATCGACTTGATCAATACAAATTTTATTACATCAAAAATAAATGGTTACCTAAAAGAATTTTACTAATATCTAAATAAGGTTCCCAAACAGTAAACCCGCGTCCAATCAGATCTATAGCAGCCCTCCTTAATGGAGTATGCGCTGGTAACTTACTAGAAGGTGATGCTAATAATAAATGAGATAGAGCCATCGAAGTTAAACGCGCCAAATTACTATTTCCGTTTCCAAACCCTTCCGCAACCGAACCTTTCCATTTATCTTCATTAACTTTTTTATCGTTCGTTATGTCTTGTCCAAATTCTGCCCCGATAACTCCTAATAAAATAACAGCGGTAGTTTGTTTTCGCTTTAATTCAGCAATGCTGGACGGTTTCCTAAAATGTTCCTCTTCCTCTTCTTCATCTTCATCCTCCACAGTTTCTGGTGAATTATTCTGACCAGAATTGTTAACATGATTGGAATTTGTTTGATTCGATTGCTGATTAATCATTTCGCTTTGGGTATATAATGGAAGGAATTGAGCCCATGATTCAACAAGAACTTTACGTCCTTTCGGACCCAACCGTCCTAATTCGGCCAGGAGAAGCGCTTGAGCAGCTTCGCGAACTTCCACACAATGATGTTGCCATCTTTTTGCCATCATCTCAACATGTGGACGTTTAAAAGATTTCGATCCATTTCCAACCACCTACAAAAATATTTTTACTCCAATAAAATTTTTTTATATCCACTTTTACCTTATCAGGTAATAACACACAATGTAAAGTTGCCAACAAAGACCAACCCTGTTTAATATGAGCTTGTTGTTGCGTAAACATTTCTTCGTGTTCCTCATCTTGTTTACTCCACTTCACCCTCGAACACATTCTGTGTAACTTTCGATTACGTTCTTGCTCTGGGACAAACGTCGCGTTGCTCATCGACATTAAAGTGTGACATAAAGCGATAATAGCTATTAAATGATTACTTGTAAGCGTCGTGCTAAGTTCCCAATGCGTTCTTGACGTAAACACTCTGGTTAAATGTTCTCTTTTAACCAATTCTAAAGGTAAGCTATTCGCTAACGAACGATCGACCATTAATTTTTCTTCATCGATAGGAACGGCTGTGTGCCAAGTGGGAAGTAACAGAGACATATGATTCGATTTTGATAAAACACCAAAAGAAACTGGTACCATAGGCCGTAATAATCCAAGTTTTACTTGACAAACCGTATCAAGATCATTATCTATACCCCAAGCGTGTAATAAAGAAAGTAATAATTGCGCTATTTCCATACCGTGACTATTTTCAATTGAAGCTAAAAGATGTTTACTGCTTTTCAAGTTGAAATCGTTACTATCTACAAAAAAAATGTATACGCAAAGTTAATTAAATGAAATTGGGGTAATTTTGGTTTATGAACCTTTTGAATTCTCGAATTGTGGTTTAAGCACGCTTTCGGCTTTCGCTTGGATTTTTGTTTGAACATTTTCTGCGCCTTCTTTCATTTTTGCTAATATACCTAAAGAAATAAACATTAATAGGAATTTTTTAGTACTCTTTTCTGGAGGTACAAAAATTACGTATGTTTCATATTAACCTATTTGCATCATTCAGAATAAATTACTAAAATATGTCAAAAATTCTACATGTTTTGTGGAACTAAAATTATGAACTTAAATCCATTCTAGGGACCAATCCGAAACTTTTTAGTTCTAGGTCTAGTGATAGTGTTAAGTTAATTTTACTTTTAGTTGTTGTTTTTTTATTTATTTTACTTTTTGTTTTATTTTGGGTTTAGCCGTTTTAAGAGACATATGGCTAAACCCAAATGTTTCTAATAAAAACCATGTAAAAACTTCTAATTTGCATTTATTTATATAAAGTCGTACTAGTTTCGGGTTACCCCATCATCAGCGACAAAGTCAATGAAGCTATAATAGGTGTTGACTGGAAATCAGATAAGAATAAAGCATTTTGCTATCTGATGGATAAACAAAATGAAGATAAAAGACGAAAAAGGAATGGCGACGTTAAAAAGTGTGGAATGTTAAAAATTAGAAAAACTTTAAAAGGATGCGTTGGTGGGATGAGATGAGGCGAGACTTTCAATCTCGCCTCATCTCATCTTTCTTTTTAACGTCGCCATTCCTTTACATGGTTCTTATTTGATTATTAATCTTGCAACATGGATAACTCTTCCAAATGTTTCTAGTTCTAGTGGCAGTGCAAGTGTAAAGCTAGAACTATCACTATACCTAGAACTAGAATCATTCGGGTTTAGCCATCTTTAAAGACGTGCAGCTAAACCTAAATGTTTCTAGTTCTAGGTCTAATGTTAGTTCTAGTGACAATGCGCTCTCGTAATTGGTCAACATTTTCAACTAGAGTAGCGTAGACTAGGGGTTTCAGATGGCCCCAAAAGAAAAAATCTAAACAATTAAGTTTGGGAGATCGCGCTGACCAAGGGTGCGGACCTCCTCGACCGATCCAACGGTCTGGGTATTCGTCGTCCAAGTATTGCCGAGCGGTACATCTTCCAGCAGTACTTCTTCTAGAAATTGTCGATAATCTATACGGTAAAAAATGTGGGCCTATCAAATGCTCACCGACGATGGCAAAAGTTGCCTTTTCAAAATTGTCCAAACTGTCGAGTGAGATAGGTTTAAGTTGTGAGCAAGTTTTCTGGCACTTGTGGTCGGATTTTCGTCAATTTCGTTGAGGATAGCCTCTTCTACTTGGCGCCCATTATCAGCAGTATTCCTTTTAAAACTTCCATTTTATCATAGTCGTTGGTGAATGCGTAGAAACAACTTATGGTGTGGTACTGGGCGATCAGGATGTCTTTCTTGATACAACCGCCTTGCTTCTACCGAATTACCGCACGCCATTCCGTAAAGGTAATGCATTCCGCACATTTCAGCGTTTGTGTAATTAACTTTTAATTTTGTAATACAAGTTTCCTTTTTTGCAGGTACAAACTAATTGTTATTTTGACAGGAGGTAGCTTTTGTTATAAAATTTAAAGCCTACTTGTTAAAAATCAATAATACAATTTTTTACACAAACGCTGAAATGTGCGAAATGCGTTACCTTTACGGTTTGGAGAATTTTGAAAAGACAACTTTTGTATCATTTTTTTTTATTTTGCAATTATAAAGTTAACGCTTGCTTTTGTTACTTGTTCTAACGTTTACATAAATTTTGTTTAATTGTAAAACAAAATTTTTATTTCAAAAAAATGACCATGTTTTTCAACATAAAGTTGATTTTTCTAGAAAACGGTCAACTTTAGAGCTCATGATCTACAGTACCTTTTTTGTGTAGAAAACATTGACGGTTCAAATGGGCGTATCAAAACCGTACTTTTTTCAGTGGCGTAGAAGTTGGGGAGAAAAACAACCACTACCCATCAAAATCTTCACCAATTATGACTTTAAAAAAATTTTTTCTCGCACAAAACTTAGCTTATTATGAGTAGAAAATGCTTACAAACGCTGTTTTCTGCACGATAAATGGTTCCGGGGATATTCGCAAAAAACGATTTTTTTTAGTAAATTTCAACACCCTGTATTTCGAAAATGGTGCTTTTTAGAGGGTAAGTTGATAGAAACTTTTTTTCAAATGTTTGGACAAGCTATCACATCCTGAAATCCTGCGCATATATTATGAAACGCCCTGTATAATATAACTAAAATCATTTGGGTTTAGCCGTCTTAAGAGACGTACAGCTAAACCTAAATGTTTCTAGTTCTAGGTCTAATATTAGTTCTAATGACAGTGCAAGTGTAAAACTAGAANGGTCCAATCCGAAACTTTTTAGTTCTAGGTCTAGTGATAGCGTTAAGTTAATTTTAGTTTTAGTTGTTATTCAGCGCCAGGTTGTTGTATATTTTTATTGAATTAAAACCGGAAATAACACTAGACCTAGAACTAGAAACATTCGGGTTAAGCCGTCTTAAAAGACGTATGGCTAAACCCGAATGTTTTTAGTTCTAGGTGAAATGTTAGTTCTAGTGGCAGTACAAGTGTAAAAGCAGAACTAACACTCTACCTAGAACTAGAATCATTCGGGTTTAGCTGTCTTTAGAGACGTGCGGCTAAACCCAAATGATTCTAGTTCTAGGTATACTGTTAGTGCTACATAGTAATAGTGCTGGTGTAAAACTAGAACTAACACTAGACCTAGAACTAGAAAGTCCGTCTGAAGACGCACGGCTAAACCCGAAACTTTCTAGTTCTAGGTCTAGTGTTAGTTCTAGTTTTAATTGTTATTCAGCGCTAGATCGTCGTACATTTTTATTGAAGTAGTTAAAAGGTTAAATGTACGTATTAGAAAAGTACGTATATTAGATTATACAGGGTGTTTCATAATATATGCGCAGGACTTCAGGATGTGATAGCTTGTCCAAAAATTTGAAAACAGCTTTTGTAAGCACTTCTACTCATAATAAGCTAAGTTTTGTGCGAGAAAAAAAATTTTTAAAGTCATAATTGGTGAAGATTTTGAAGGGGTAGTGGTTGTTTTTCTCTCCAACTTCTACGCCACTGGAAAAAGTACGGTTTTGAGACGCCCATTTCTACACAAAAAAACTACTAAAGCTCATGCGCTCTAAAGTTAATCGTTTTCGAGAAAAATCAATTTTTATGTTGAATAACATGGTCAATTTTTTGAAATAAAAATATTATTTTACTAAAACGTTAGAACAAGTAACAAAAGCAAACGTTAACTTCATAATTGCATAATTAAAAAGAAACAATTACAAATCATACACAGTTAAATTAAATGTTGAAAATATCCGCCGTTAGCTTCAATGCACGCAGCAAATCTTCGACGCATTGACTGTCTAAAGCGGCCCATACACGACGACTCTTGCAGCGACGCCAAGAGTCGAACCGCATGAAGCATCGTGTGTAGGGAAGCGCCAGGACTCATACGACGGCATCGGCAGCGACGACGGCGACGGATTCAAGACCGTGGCAGGCTCCGGCGCTTTGCAAGAGTCAACGTGTATGGGATTGCGACGTGCATACGACACCGAAAGTATCGCTTTAGTTTATTTCCAACGTCCATCGAAATGGCATCGTTCGCCAAAAAAGAGTTTTGGAAAAAATTTATAAACCTATATAGAATGTACCCATGTTTATGGGACTCAAAATCAAAAAATTACATTAACAGAAACTGAAAAACTACCGCCATAAATGAGCTTGTAAAGTTGTCTGGCAGTATTTAGCTTTCTGTCAGCAATATTTAACTTTCTACAAGCAGTATTAGTATTCTGGAACCAATTTGTAGTCTATTGATAGCAGTACCTAGCCTTGTATAAACAATATTTATCTTTTTAAGCAGTTTCTAGTATTGCATAGGTAGTATTTGTCTTCCGCAAGGAATGTTTGATCATCTACAGGAAGTATTTAGTCTTCTGCAAGCAGTATTAGTATTCTGGAATCAATTCCTTGGCTATTGGTAGCAGTACCTAGCCTTCCATAAACAATATCTATCTTCTGCAAACAGTTTCTAGTATTGTATAGGTAGTATTTGTCTTCCGCAAGGAGTTTTTAGCCTTTTGCTGGCAGTATTTAGTCTTCTACAAGTAGTATCGGTATTCTGCAATCAATTTGTAGTCTATTGGTAGCAGTACTTAGGTTTCTATAGACGATATCTATCTTTTTAAGCAGTTTCTAGTATTATATAGGTAGTAGTTGTCCTCTATAGGAAGTATTTAATCTTCTGCAAGTAGTATTGGTATTCTGCAGCCAATTTCTTGGCTATTGTCTGGCCAGATATGCATTGGTATAGGTCCGTCGATAGCGGTTAAAGAAGTGCGGCACGACGCCACAAGAGTCTACGTGTGTAGGCCGTTAAAATCCGAATTATGTCGCAAGATACAACAATGCGCTCTCTTAATTGGTCAACATTTTCAACTGGAGTAGCGTAGACTAGGGTGTTTCGATGGCCCCAAAAGAAAAAATCTAAATTAAGTTTGGGAGATCGCGGTGGCCAAGGGTGCGGACCTCCTCGACCGATCCAACGGTCTGGGTATTCGTCGTTCAAGTATTGGCGAGCAACCAAACTAAAGTGGGCCGGAGCTCCATCATGCATAAAGTACATATTTTGTTTTACTTGAAGTGCTCCGTTTAATCTGTTCGGTAAAAAATGTGGGCCTATCAAATGATCACCGACGATGGCAGCCCAAACATTTACGGAAAATTGTTGCTGATGATGGCCTTCTGCAATTTCATGTGGATTTTCTTCTGTCCATATGTGGTTATTGTGCAAATTGAAAATACCATCCTTCGAGAAAGATGCTTCATCGGTAAACAGAACTCCAAACTCAGGATTTTGAACTATTTTCTTGCATCCATGTACAAAAAGCCAATCTTGGCGGAAAATCTCTTGGCAATAAGGCTTATACTGTTTGGATATGGTAGGGATACAAAAGTTGCCTTTTCAAAATTGTCCAAACCGTCGAGTGAGATAGGTTTAAGTTGTGAGCAAGTTTTCTGGCACTTGTGGTCGGATTTTCATCAATTTCGTTGAGGATAGCCTCTTCTACTTGGTGATTTGCAACTTTCATAGGACGCCCATTATCAGCAGTATTCCTTTTAAAACTTCCATATTCCCATAGTCGTTGGTGAATGCGTAGAAACAAGTTGTGGTGTGGTACTGGGCGATCAGGATGTCTTTCTTGATACAACCGCCTTGCTTCTACCGAATTACCCGCCATTCCGTAAAGGTAATGCATTCCGCACATTTCAGCATTTGTGTAATTAACTTTTAATTTTGTAATACAAGTTTACTTTTTTGCAGGTACAAACTAATTGTTATTTTGACAGGAGGTAGCTTTTGTTAAAAAAAATTTTCTCGCACAAAACTTAGCTTATTATGAGTTGAAAATGCTTACAAACGCTGTTTTCTGCACGATAAATGGTTCCGGGGATATTCGCAAAAAACGATTTTTTTAGTCAATTTCAACACCCTGTATCTCGAAAATGGTGCATTTTAGAGGATAAGTTGATAGAAACTTTTTTCAAATGTTTGGACAAGCTATCACAACCTGAAATCCTGCGCATATATTATGAAACGCCCTGTATAATATAACTAAAATCATTTGGGTTTAGCCGTCTTAAGAGACGTACAGCTAAACCTAAATGTTTCTAGTTCTAGGTCTAATATTAGTTCTAATGACAGTGCAAGTGTAAAAGTAGAACTAACACTATACCTAGAACTGGAATTATTTGGGTTTAGCCACACGTCTCTAAAGACGGGTAAACCCGAATGATGCTAGTTCTAGGTATAGTGCTAGTTCTACATAGTAACAGTGCTGGTGTAAAACTAGAACTAACACTAGACCTTGAACAAGAAAGCTTCGAATTTAATACAAGGTCCTGCAGTGAAAAGGAAAGATTTAAGGTAGGGTTTGCAGCGCGCCGCGAAGTGATGGGAAAGAAAGTAGCCGACTTGCCAAGACCTGCATGATTTGCCATTTGGTTTACAAAGTCAAAGAAAATATTTTTTGAGTACTACATCCGCCAAATGTCCTCCGTTTATGCATTTAATTACAATTTATGCATTCTTGGAGTCGTGTCTGAAAGTTTTGCATAAAGAAGTCGCAGGGGGTTACGTCGGGAGACCTAGGGGGCCAACTGATATCGCCGTTTCAAAGCACTTACAGCATTCATTGAAATTCTTGTAGTGTGACTTGTTGCCCCGTCTTGTTGAAAAAGTGTGTCTTCATTCCCTGGAAGGCCTTCAAGTTGTGGTGTGAGATAATTCTGAATCATTGCAACGTATCGTACAGAATTAACGGTAACGGCATTTTCAAAAAAATATGGACCGATGATTTGCCCATTTGCCGAAATCTCACCGTTTTGAAAATAGGCTTTAACTGCGTAACCGCGATGCTCACCCGTCCAACGCTCCATTGTAAACTAAATGGCAAATTATGCAGGTCTTAGCAAGTTGGCTACTTTCTTCCCCATCACTTCGCGGCGCGCTGCAAACCCTACTTTAAATCTTTCCTTGTCACTGCCGGACCCTGTATTAGTTCGAGTTTCAGTTGTAATTGAGTGTTAGGTTATTGTATACAGGCTGTCCCGTATCTTCCGAATCAGAGCATTAACGGTTGAAGGATACATTATTCTAAAGCGATTTTTCTAATAAAATTTTTTCGAAATGTTTATAATAACCTCACGGGAACTGTTTAAAATTCTCCGCTTTTGTCCAATAACAGACGATTTTGATTCACGAAAAAAGTTTAGTTCTCTTTGCGTGTCGAATCTATTGGTAAGTACACGTGGGAAACGTGTTTTGATAGGCAGTCCGGTCGAGGGTTGGGCCAATTACCTGAATCTGATTTAAGATTTGCCAATAGACGCCGAAAAACAGTTCCCGTGCGGTTATTATAAACATTTCGAAAAAAATTTATTAGAAAAATCGCTTCAGAATAATGTATCCTACAACCGTATAATGCTCTGATGCGGAAGATACGGGACACGGTGTATATTTGTTGAATTAAGAGTAGAACTAACACAAAGCCTAGAACTAAACATTCAAGTTTAGCCGTCTTGAGAGACGCATGGTTAAACACGAATGTTTCTAGTGTTAGTATTAAGTTAATTCTAGTTTTACTTGTTGTATATTTTGAACACTTCGAACATATTTCTAAAGAAGTGCTAGTATTAGTTCTAGTTTTAGTTCAAAAGTTAGCGTGCATATACACACTTTGGTGATAATGGCCTATAAAAAATTCGAGCATATCTGAATTTATGATGCAAATGGGTTAAGCGTTAGAATATAAATTAAAATTTTTTTATTCTCAATTATTAAATGTGAAAGATAAAACATGAAACATAAGTAATTCTTATAACCCAATTTATTCATTATCTAACGATAAAACGATCAAAATCTTTTTTTAGCTAAACAAAAACTATGATTAATCTCAATAACTCCCTTTAGATTCTAAAAGCTAGTCTAAACTTTTTATGCACGCTAAAATTTTATATTGTTACATCTCAAATTTATCAATAAAAGATTATCGTATTAATATAAAATTTTAGTTTAAATATGAAATCAAATTCAACTACACTAATCTAACTCAACTCTCCTATTTACCATGTTTGTCTTTTTCTTTAATTATCCTTTCGACATTTTCAGCCTTATCTTTGACTTTTCCAAAAAAGTCTTTGCGAAAGCATTAAGAACACACAAAAAAAACTTTTATTAGAAAATCATGTAATATTTAATATCAAGATCTGACAAGATAATCAAGAACAATAAAATTACTGTCTCAATTTTTGTACCAGATTTATGATCAATGCCAAGATAATCTTTTTTTATCACCGCGAATTATCAGCAATACATGTTATAAAATACGTCATTAAAAATTCATTTAACTCAGCTAAAAGTTGGTAATATTGTTTTGTTGAAATACTCACCGGCGATTTTTTTATGAGCCTCCGAACTCGTGCTTTGTGTCAGTGCTGCCACCTTTAAATATTCCGCTTGCGAAATTAGCCCCGCCGCTTCCAAACTACCCGGGGACATCGCCGAGTATTCTTCGCTTAACAATTCGACAATTAGCGCCTCGATATCAAAGAATAATATATGACTTTCGGGATCTAAAATACAATCAAACACAAAAAAAAATTTGAAAATTGAAATCGTACACACAATTAAGATTTCGTACAAAATGTTAGTAAATGGGTGAGTTTTGTTAAATTCACATTTATTTGAAAAACACAACGTTGATTGCGTATATATTTTAATTTCTCAATTACGATGAAATTTTTTAATCAATTTAATTACATGTTAAATCAAATCTAAATACTAACTACTCCAGAACTAAAAACTACCCAAATGAAACATTTTTTTTTTTTATTTTGATATTGAGTAATAATAATAGAGACCTTTCGGGTTGGTTCGTAATCCTTGTATCGATAACGGAGAATTTTGACTGCGTTGCATGTGGGGATCGTCGTTATTTGCATGAGCACCCAGTTGTTGAAGCTGATGAAGCCCTCTTTGAGTTGCATGACGAATAGCCGATAAATTTCGATGGCGTAATCCTCTAAATTATTATATAAACCTCTAAATTATGTTGAACGTCACTTAAAAATAACTCACCTAAAGAAATGTACCGCAGGATTTGCTAAACCAACTTCAGACGACGTTAAGAAATTCGTTTCATTTTCTTCGCAAGCATATAATACTTCTTCTGCCGCTATACCTACATAATTTAAATAACGTTTTTTTATCAATTATAAATATTAACAAAAAAAAATTAATATGAATGAAATTTGTTATGAATTTATGAAATAAGAAGAGAGGGTTAATAAAAAAATTTAATTTCTGGATTGGTTTTTAATTTTCTTTTACCTTGAAGAACTCGGTCTAAATGACCAGTTTCCATTTGCCAAACGTAAACTGTCCCATCAGAACAACCAACAATCATAAAATCATCTAAAGGTCTCCATTTTATCGTCGTAACCGGAAATAAGTGTCTTGAAGCCAAGCAAACACATTTCTTTTCTGTTAAACTTAGTAAAGTGACCGAATGATCAGAAGCAACTGAACATATACACTTTTGTATCCTAGACTATATAAAAAAAAACATTTTAACAACAAAAGCAACCAGATTCATTGTATGTTATTCAAATTAATCATTCAATAATTTAAGTGCTATCTTCAAAAGCCTTGTAATAATAATGACATATTCATATTATATTTAATTTATTATCGAACTATTATTACCCATATGTAGAGGTATGTTTTAAATTAATTCATTCTCAATCTTAACATTGCGAACAATATGAGTCACCAGTGGTCAAATGCAAGCATTTCAATATTCTAATCATAATTTAGTGGGTTCACCTATACAGATAAATTCCTTACAACTCATTGTAATCTTATATCTACTAATCTAATATCTAATCTAATCTCGTATTTGATTGTATTGATATCGCTTTATAATCTTAACGTGTTGACACTTACACTTTATATTTGTATCCACTTTATCAATTGGCTGACATTGATACAAAAGTAATTATCATGTTCAGTATACATACACCGGTTGGTTAAACGACGCAAAAACCCACATTTTCTTAGAGTCACCCTAAATCGATGCTTCACTTAAAAGAATACTGATTCAACAACTTTTGTTCACGACTACCTCATAATATGCAGGCTGTTTCATAATATATGCGCAGAACTTCAGGATGTGATAGCTTGTCCAAACATTTGAAAAAAAATTTCTATCAACTTATCCTCTAAAATGAACCATTTTCGAGATACAGGGTGTTGAAATTTAATAAAAAAAATCGTTTTTTGCGAATATCTCCGGAACAGTTTATCGTACAGTAAACAGCGTTTGTAACCATTTTGTACTCATAATAAGCTAAGTTTTGTGCAAGAAAAAATTTTTTTAAAGTCATAATTGGTGAAGATTTTGAAGGGGTAGTTAGTGATTGTTTTTCTCCCCAACCTCTACGCCACTGGAAAAAATACGCTTTTGAGACGCCCATTTGAACCGTCAATGTTTTCTACACAAAAAAGGTACTGTAGGTCATGAGCTCTAAAGTTGACCGTTTTCTAGAAAAATCAACTTTTATGTTGAAACACAATCAAGTCAATTTATTGAAATAAAAATTTTATTTTACAATTAAACAAAATTTATGTAAACGTTAGAACAAGTAACAAAAGCAAGCGTTAACTTCATAATTGCAAAATAAAAAAAATGAAAAAACTGATACAAAAGTTGTCTTTTCAAAATTCTCCAAACCGTAAAGGTAACGCATTTCGCACATTTTAGCGTTTGTGTAAAAAATTGTATAATTTATTTTTCACAAGTAGACTTTAAATTTTATAACAAAAATTACCTTCTGTCAAAATAACAATTAGTTTGTACCTGCAAAAAGTAAACTTGTATTACAAAATTAAAAATGAACTACACAAACGCTGAAATGTGCGAAATGTATCACCTTTACGGAATGGCGTGCGGTAATTCGGAAGAAGCAAGGGGGTTGTATCAAGAAAGACATCTTGATCGCCCAGTATCACACCATAACTTGTTTCTACGCATTCACCAACGACTATGGAAAAATGGAAGTTTTAAAAGGAATACTGCTGATAATGGACGGCCTATGGAAGTTGCAAAATCCCCAAGTAGAAGAGGCTGTCCTCAACGAAATTGCTCACAACTTAAACCTATCTCACTCAACGGTTTGAAGAATTTTGAAAAGGCAACTTTTGTATCCCTACCATATCCAAAGAGTACAAGCCTTATTGCCAAGAGATTTTCCGCCAAGATTGGCTTTTTGTACATGGATGCAAGACAAAATAGTTCAAAATCCTGAGTTTGGAGTTCTGTTTACCGATGAAGCATCTTTCTCGAAGGATGGTATTTTCAATTTGCACAATAACCACATATGGGCAAAAGAAAATCCAAAAAATTACAGAAGGCCATCGTAAGCAACAATTTTCCGTAAATGTTTGGGCTGCCATCGTCGGTGATCATTTGATAGGTCCACATTTTTTACCGAACAGATTAAACGGTGCAGATTATCGACAATTTCTAGAACAAGTACTGCCGGAACTGCTGGAAGATGNTCTGAATGACCTTTCGCCGAGCAAGGTATTAATGTTCGTTAAGAGCATTGGACTGCACGGTGAAATTTGATAACGATATCTATCGGGGTACAATAGATCCTTAGGGTCGCGGTGCAAGGTTGGTTGGTCCGCCTACCCGATATGTATTCTATGTAATGTAATGTAATGTAAGGGGGTTGTATCAAGAAAGATATCCTGATCGCCCAGTATCACACCATAACTTGTTTCTACGCATTCACCAACGACTATGGGAAAATGGAAGTTTTAAAAGGAATACTGCTGATAATGGGCGTCCTACGAAAGTTGCAAATCACCAAGTAGAGGAGGCTATCCTCAACGAAATTGATGAAAATCCGACCACAAGTACCAGAAAACTTGCTCACAACTTAAACCTATCTCACTCGACGGTTTGAAGAATTTTGAAAAGGCAACTTTTGTATCCCTACCACGAGATTTTCCGTTAAGATTGGCTTTTTGAACATAGATGCAAGACAAAATAGCTCAAAATCCTGAGTTTGGAGCGGAAGTTCTGTTTACCGATGAAGCATCTTTCTCGAAGGATGGTATTTTCAATTTGCACAATAACCACATATGGGCAGAAGAAAATCCACATGAAATTACAGAAGGCCATCGTAAGCAACAATTTTCCGTAAATGTTTGGGCTGCCATCGTCGGTGATCATTTGATAGGTCCACATTTTTTACCGAACAGATTAAACGGTGCAGATTATCGACAATTTCTAGAACAAGTACTGCCGGAACTGCTGGAAGATGTACCGCTTCAAGTAAGACAAAACATGTACTTTATGCATGATGGAGCTCCGGCTCACTTTAGTTTGGTTGCTCGCCAATACTTGGGCGACGAATACCCAGACCGTTGTGGATCGGTCGGTTAAAAAATTTTTTTTCGCACAAAACTTAGCTAATTATGAGTAGAAAATGCTTACAAACGGTTCCGAAGATATTCGCAAAAAAAACACCCTGTATCTCGAAAATGGTGCATTTTAGAGGGTAAGATAGAAACTTTTTTTCAAATTTTTGTACAAGCTATCACATCCTGAAGTCCCGCGCATATATTATGAGCCTTATACCTTATAAATAAGTTTTTTAAAATAAATTGGTAGTCATTTTTCACAGAGTGAATAATCATTATTCACGGGTAATCAACTTGACAGACTTGAATAATTATTTGAAATGTCAAAATTTCAAAAAACGTCGATTTAATTTAATTTTTTTAGGACTCTGAAGGTTTGACATTAAAAAAACATAAACAAATTCTGATTCAAGCATAAATTAATAAATTTTCGTAAAAAAAAAGATGTCGTTTCATAAAATTGACATTTAATTTTGACAAATTGTTATGAAGTTGGTTACAGTTGGTAACATTGAATTTGTGTCACATTGACGTTTAAACTTTATTCAAAAAAATAAATTTAGGGAATCAACTTCAATAGTAGTCGTGTACAAAGTATAGTATTCTACTTGCATATAATGAGCTCAGGTTAATTATGCCACTATCACGCGTGTGATATAAACTTAACCTTAGTGAATAATAGCCCTCATCACATAATAGCCTCAAGACGGCTAAACCTGAATGATTCCCGTTCTAGGTCTTGTGTTAGTTAATAATTCGGGTTAATAATTAATTATTAATTAATTCTTTCTCCTTCAATTTCATTTCTGGGTCTGGGGAATAAGTCATGAAACTACTTGGTTATAAATAGAGTGGGAGATGATATTTGACATTTAGATTATTGGTATTCGATTAATTATTGGTTGATTTAAATTAATTTCAAATTACACAAGATTGTGAGACTTTGATAATCAAGGAAATTACTTTATGAAAGATGAACTTCTTAAGAAATAGAGAAAGGAAGTTAGAACCATAATTAGACAATTACAACTCAATAAAAACTATGGAAAGAAATTGAGTTATGTTGAAAATAATTAATGCAAATTCTATTGTTCTGATTCATATTAAGCTATGTTAAACGGGTTATTGTCTGGAGAATAAATTCTTTGATTGATTAATTTGAATTCTTTCCATACTTAAAGTACTTACACTACAAGTATGAGGTGGTACTAATAACTGAGTAATTTCTCCTGCATGTACACAAAATCGATGTAAAAGTAGCCCGGCATTTAAATCCCAGATACAAACGGCAAAATCCACACCTCCAGAAACCAAGAAATTTTTGTTATATCTTGAATGTTCACGATGAGGATAGAGTAAACAATTAACACGTCCGCCATGACCGGATAAAATATGATGTTTAGGCCAATCTATTTATATTATTAACATTAAATTTAATATTGAAAGGAAAGTAAAATAAAGTACGAAAAATTACCATCAAATTGTTGATGATTTCCATGTAATAATTGTAACATAATAGTTTGCGTAGCGGGTACTATAATAATCGTCCCATCTTCTCTTCCCACAACTAATCGACTTTGACCAGGTAAATATATACTTGCAGTTAATTTAACGGCTATGTTAAAAATAATAAATAATAATAAATTTTGATTTGAATTAACTTACCAAAAGAATCTGCTTTTTCAAGTTGATCTAATATTCCGATAGGCGTGGGATTCATTTCGTCCCAAGCTTGTGTAAGGCTAGTTACAAGAGCAGCTTTCATGTGCAATGGACCATTTTCCATTTGCTTTGTATCTGAAGACGTTATATTTGGCATGTTCCATATATGAACGTAACCTTCAGAATCGCCTCTTAATAAATAACGATGGACGACTCCCTGCCTTTGAGTTACTAAAAATCTCATCGCTGGGGGACAAGATAAAAGCTAAAAAAAATATTTCAAAAAAACATTTTGAAAATACTTATTTATTTTTTTTATACTTTACTATCTTGTTCGCTTAATACATAATATAGTAATGGTTTATCAGATTCTGGTGTCATTGTGTGGAAATTTGCATTATCAGGAATGCTGCTAAGAAAAATTAAGAAATACGATTAATTAATTAATATCTAAAAATTAAAGATATTTTAAACTTACTTCGTAGGTAACTTATAAAGATATCCTTTCCCGGCATCCGTCCACACAATTATCCTATCAATATCCAAAAAATCACCAGACATAAACCTTTCACCATCCACAGCCGTACTAGAACACAATTTGCTAAAATCACCTGAAAATTAAAACCACAAAACCACCTCAATCCTTTTAAACCACACAATTCCAAAATATAACTCCACAAAAATAAATAAATAATCAAATAAGTTACCTGCATCATATATTAACCATTGTTTACTACAAACTATTAATACAATTCTTTGATTTTGCATACAACAACGTAAACAAACAGAATTTAACGGTTCAATTTGTTTACTTTCGTTTTCGTAAATGGGCTCGCAATGTTTATTTTCATGCCCAAGTAACGTCCACACTTTCACCATTCCTGTGGTTGTTATCGCCAAAACAACGTCGTCTTTACGACGAACAGGTCTAATTACCTATAAATACAAGTATTTTTTTTAATTATAAATCGTTCGATAATATTTTCTGTAGGGGAACAAGAGGAGGAGTATTCGACTCTTAAACAATTAAGTTAATACCTAAAAACATATCTAATATATAGGTGGAGGTGGTATTATATGTATTAGGCAGAAAGGCGAATATTTGAAAAAAAATTGTGCAGATGGAAAATAAAGTATGATGAATTGGTGAGTACTGGAGGTGAATCTTGGGGTTGAGCAGAGACTCCGAGATATTTAGTGAGAAAAGAGTTGATGCTGGAGAACATGAGGGCGGAAATAAATAGAAGGGATTTTGCGGAATAGCAGAAATTTTGAGAGAGTGATGACAAGAAACAAGACAACAAAAAAAAAAGGAATGGATGGCGGAGGTGAGGACTGAAAGGAGGAGTGTTAGAACAGTGTTCTACACATATTTCGATTTTTATAAGATTTTGCAAAAATTTTCTAAAATGTTCAAACACATCCTGTTATTTCTGAGTGAATCGAAAGCTTTTAAAGGATTTTTACAAAATTCTACGAATTTCCAAGAATGTCCAAGACAAACGGATATCCATTAATAATATCTAGGATTTTAATGATTCTCAAAGATTCACATAAGCATTTCCAAGTATTCCCATAAGATTTTCAAAGATACCATCCGAATTTCTCAGGATTTTTGAGGAATCCAACGAGTTTCCAAAGATTTCTATAGATATTCAGGTTATCTAAAAGGTTTTATGAAAATTTCCAAATACATCCAAGGATTTTGTAGCAATTTCCTAAAATTTTCAAAGATAACCAAATATTTCTAGAGATATCAAGGAATATCCACAGATTTACGAATTTCTTAGGATTTTTTAATGTATCCAAGGTTTTTGAATGATTTTTAGAAAAATTGGATTTTTAATTTTTCCCAGAGACTTATGTAAGCATTTCTTAGTATTTCCAGAAGATTTCCAAAAGATTTCAACGGATTTTCAAGTATACCATAAAAATTTCTCAGAATACCTAAGGTTATCTAGGATTTTGCAGAGAGTTCTACAGAATTTCAAGTTTATAGAAATTTCCAAACATATCGAGGCATTTTGAAACGATTTCCAAAAAATTTTATATATTACTAGGTATTTCTAAAAATTTTAGGAATTTAGACAGATTTTCAAAACAATCCATCGATTTTTACGGATATCTTAGGATTTTTGAGTGTATCCAAGGTTTTTGAATGATTTTTTAGAAAAATTAGAAGGATATCCAATGATTATTACGAATGTACAAGACTATTAATTCTTCCCAGACACTCATGTATGCATTTTTTAGTATTTCCAGGAGATTTCCAAAAGATTTCAACCGATTTTCAAGTATACTATAAAAATCCCTCAGACTAAGGTTATCTAGGATTTTGCAGAGATTTCTACAGAATTTCAAATTTATAGAAGATTTTATAGGAATTTCCAAACATATCTAGGCATTTTGAAACGATTTCCAAAAAATTTTATATATTACTAGGTATTTATAAAAATTTTAGGAATTTAGACAGATTTTCAAAACAATCCATCGATTTTTACGGATATCTTAGGATTTTTAAGTGTATCCAAGGTTTTTGAATGATTTTTTAGAAAAATTAGAAGGATATCCAATGATTATTACGAATGTCCAAGACTATTAATTCTTCCCAGACACTTATGTATGCATTTTTTAGTATTTCCAGGAGATTTCCAAAAGATTTCAACCGATTTTCAAGTATACCATAAAAATCCCTCAGACTAAGGTTATCTAGGATTTTGCAGAGATTTCTACAGAATTTCAAGTTTATAGAAGATTTTATAGAAATTTCCAAACATATCTAGGCATTTTGAAACGATTTCCAAAAATTTGTATATACTACTAGGTATTTATAAAAATTTTAGGAATTTAGACAGATTTTCAAAACAATTCATCGATTTTTACGGATATCTTAGGATTTTTGAGTGAATCCAAGGTTTTTGAATGATTTTTTAGAAAAATTAGAAGGATTTCCAAGGATATCCAATGATTATTACGAATGCCCAGAACTTTTAATTCTTCAAAGACACTCATGTATGCATTTTTTAGTATTTCCAGGAGATTTCCAAAAGATTTCAACGGATTTTCAAGTATACCATAAAAATCTCTCAGAATACCTAAGGTTATTCAGGATTTTGCAGAGATTTCTACAGAATTTCAAGTTTTTAGAAGATTTTATAGGAATTTCCAAACATATCTAGGAATTTTGAAACGATTTCTAAAAATTTTTATACACTACTAGGTATTTCTATAAATTTTAGGAATTTAGACACATTTTCAAAACAATCCATCGATTTTTACGGATATCTTAGGATTTTTGAGTGTAAATAAGATTTTTGAATAATTTTTTAGAAAAATTAGAAGGATTTTCAAGGATGTCCAATGATTATTACGAATGTCCAGGACTTTTAATTCTTCCCAGACACTCATGTATGCATTTTTTAGTATTTCCAGGAGATTTCCAAAAGATTTCAACTTATTTTCAAGTATACCATAAAAATTTCTCAGAATACCTAAGGTTATCTAGGATTTTGCAGAGTTCTATAGAATTTCAAGTTTATAGAAATTTCCAAACATATCTAGGCATTTTGAAACGATTTTCAAAAATTTTTATATATTACTAGGTATTTCTAAAATGTTTAGTAATTTAGACACATTTTCAAAACAATCCATCGATTTTTACGGATATCTTAGGTTTTTTGAGTGTATCCAAGGTTTTTGAATGATTTTTTAAAAAAATTAGAAGGATTTCCAAAGATATCCAATGCTTATTACGAATGTCCAGGACCTTTAATTCTTCCCAGACACTCATGTATGCATTTTTTAGTATTTCCAGGAGATTTCCAAAAGATTTCCACGGATTTTCAAGTACCTATACCATAAAAATTTCTCAGAATACCTAAGGTTATCTAGGATTTTGCAGAGATTTCTACAGAATTTCAAGTTTTTAGAAGATTTTATAGGAATTTCCAAACATATCTAGATATTTTTAAACGATTTCCAATAATTTTCATAGTCAACTGGGTATTTCTAAAAATGTTAAGGAACTTAGACACATTTTCAAAGATATCCATCGATTTTTACGGATATCTAAAGATTTTTGTAGTATTTCCAGAAGATTTCAACTGATTTTTCAAGCATACCTTCTTCAAGAAATCTTCATGATTTCATAGAATTCCTAAGATTATCTAGGATTTTGAGGAAAAATTGTTATTTTACTTACTATTGAAAGTACTGGAATTAGATAAACTACTTGGAGTAAACTAATAGTTCTTGAAGTACTTCCTATGTCAAACAAGTAACAAGTATCCAGTACATTTTAAGTTGAATACTGAAAGTACAAGTATTAAGTACCTACAATTTGAAAGTACTGGCAGTAAACTACTTAAAGTAAAAAAGTTACATTATTTGCAGTACATTTTTACTGCAAGTAGCTCAACTCTGCTGTAATAATATTTAATGTAGATGAAACCATAGCAATGGAGACAGTAAAAACTTGGTAGGAACCATAAGGTTCTGGATGAACTCTGTTTTAATGCTAACTTACAAATATATATATTTTGTTGTCGAATACTTTCCTCCTTCCTCTATGTGACATCATACTATTTAGATTTTAATTAATTTATACATACATGTAACGCGCTAATCCAATCTGGGTGGTATCTTGAAGATAATGTAAATAAAATCTCTAAACTAAATGGATCCATTACTACTATTTCTGGGTAATAACCATTGCAGAATAATCTAACATCTTCACAATTGCTCATGTGGTAAGACTGAAAGTTAATGAAAAAACTGTTTAATTATATTTATAGTCAGATAAATGCCAAATTATGAGAATTACTTAAAACTTAATTTAAAAATGGGGAATAAAAAGATGACTGATATTGACACTGATTGAACACCAAGTATACAATCTCAGATTCTTTATTTTTGATTAGTATCAGATGTCACAAGTCACTTGTAAAGAAAGTAGCTTACTCAAAAATGTTATCAAACCAAACAGCCTATAATATAAATGGGCACAAAGGGTAGTATGCAATATTGTTAATTTAAAATCTTTATCTGGAGTATAACTTGAACCCTTCAGAATTACAGGACTTAACACAAGACGACTTATAATGTCTTTTCATATCTTCCTAGAATGAAAATTATGTTCATTCTTCTTCATTTAGAGTATAATGCTAAATCATGATAAAATTGAAATTGAGTTAATCAACACTTTGTATTTGAGAGAATGTATAAAACAATTTCTTTAAAACAAAATTAATATGATAGTTCATGTTTTACCCTTAGATATTATTAAAAATTAATTATGCATGTAGTGAACCAAAGTTTTTGTGCACACTATTGTAAACACAAGAAACTTGGTATGTTTCCAAGATGTTTTTTAGATTTCCAGATGTTATTCTCTTTATTGATTCTTTACTAAAACAATTATTTCTATTCTATACAAACATACTTAATAATACTGAAAACTTCTCAAGTCATTTTTGTAATTAATTGAAGGGAACAAATACAAAATGAAAGTGGGGTTTTTAATTTGGATTTATCTACAAAAAATGTATATACATTTTATCTATAATTGTGTATCCACTCAATTGTGATTTGGAACAAAATTATTGATAAATAAAAAAATTTACTTATTATAGCCTAAAAAGAGTAAATTCAAAAAATAAATAAATAAAAATTAGTCACAAAAATTTTATACTCATTCCTCAATGTATAAAATTAAAAATCAATAATAACAGATTAGAGATAACAGATCCTGAATACCGTCTTTATGTAAAACAGATAAATAATCACATCTCATATACCTATTATTTCAACATTTTCAATAAAAACCAATAAACTTACCTGAATATTAGTATGTACATGTTGTAATTTAGAAGATTCCCTACATTTCCCATCAACCAAATCCCAAGTGCACATTTCCCCCGCTTCGGAACTAGATACAATGTAATTATTATCGGGGACTGCAGAAGCTGATGATAAACATAAAATAGGTGCTGAATGACCCACTAATAAGCACCTTGGTGTCATTTTGAGTGTTTCTGGATCGACTTGCCTAAAAAATTAAACAAAATATTAAATTGTGATTTTGAATCATATTAAAAATATAGTTACCAAAGGCAAATTTGTCCATCGTAACATCCTGTGACCAATGTCTTAAGGTCCTTGGATAGATAAATGCAGGATATACAGTGTGTGGGGGCGTGTTTTCCCCATAGCACAATAGGAACAACCAGACTAGCGCTCGGCATGTCGACACCCCCGTGAAAATCCCACTACTATGCCCCTTAATCAGACTAAATCGCCGTCAATTATGGGCTATTGGCAAAATTGAGTCATATGACCCGTTGGATTTACTTGCGAAGTCGAGTCCAGGGAACGTTGAATCCTGATGTGTTCGCACCTGCTTTGTGCGTCGTTACGACTACATTAAATCGCCAGAAGGATTAAATCCGAGGCGATTAAATTCTGACGTGACAGCTGAACGATATTTAACCAAACTTTATGACAATTGACAAGTACAGTATGTTTTACACGATGCCACTGACAGAAATGTCGTTGTTATCGCCTGAATCGCAGATGAGAGAAAGATAGAGAATGTAGATTTGTTGTTGTTAGACTGAAACAAGTAGATAGACGAGAATCCATGTTTTAGGTTAAAATTGATGTGTGAAGTCATTGAATAGACAGTTATTTTTTGTGAGCAATGTATGGCGCTAATTCTAAATTAAATTCAATTAATTCGTTTAAATTGAAGTGATAAAGAAAAAACGTTAGTTTAATTCTAAGAAATTCGATGGAAGTTTCTTTTATTTGCGATTGTTCGTCGTTGTATCTAAAAATAAACCACATACGGTTTATAAAATTTGAAAACAATTACTTTTTTATGTTAGTTTACAACCAGCAACTCTAAACAATTTTAATTAGAAGTGTTTTTTACTAAGTTATGTTATTTATATATAAAAATAGTAAACAACATTGTTATCAATTTTAAAAGAGGAATTTCTTTTTAAAAATATATTTTTTTACAAAGTTTTTCTTTTTACAGAATCAGTTAATTACAATTTTGAAACCTCTGGATTAACAACATCACGTGAATAATTTTGAAATAAAATTCAGTCACGCACATGTTACGAGATGGTTCTAGTTGATCACAATGAACAATAACAATGACCTGTAATATTCATTTGAAGTCAATTTTATTTCTTCTATATAAAATATTAAGTCATATTATTTAGTGTACACTTAAAATAACAACAAAATATTATTATTATTAATTATATATGTACACACATAAAAACGTTTTATTTTCATTAGCATTAATTAAACATGTATCATTAATCATTATAATATTTGAAAAACAATTTAAAAAATCATATTGTAGCTCCATCTATATAGTTTTTATTGGAGACATTAGTTCTCGTATCAAATGGAAGATGGCGCTTAAAAATTTTAAAGAGATTATTTTTTTGAAATTAAAACGAGATCAAATAGAATTAAATAGATCATTTTAATTTTAATTTAAGTTATAAATGGTTGCGTTGTAGATCAAAATAAGTTGAAATAATATTTTACAATGTATACTTTGATATGACAGTTTCATTTCATTTAATTGAATTAAATAATACATTTGAATTAATACGTTACTGAATGTTTCAAAATAGGCATAAATAATTCCATTTTTGATATATTTGAAGAGAAAAGAATTTTAAAAATTCGCCCCATCTATGTGATTTTCATTAAAGGTCCTACTTCGTTTACTAAATAAAAGATGGGGCTTCAATTAAAATAAAAAGATTTAAAAAATCTTAATAAGTGCTATATTTATTTTATTATATTACATTATTTTTTAATTAATTATTCTTTACAATAAATTACTGCCAAATAGCATTGTTAACCATTTCAAATCATTTTCGACAAATACAAACTCCAGCTGAACATTTACCGCCTCTCTTTTTCAATGCTATACAATGAAGAGCACATGCTGCATGGCCCACCGAGAATCCAGCAAATTGGATGCTTAAAACATCGCAAGTAACACGTTTTTGTCTGATGAGTTCACCTATTAATACGATATAGTTACATGTTTATCATAATTAAAGTTAATAAAAAATAAAATGTTTACCTTCTTGTATATCGATGTCTGCTATCGGTGAAGTCAAAGTTAATGTTAAACACAAAGCGATACATAACGAAATCAAAGTTACTCTTTCCATTTTATTCTAGATGACAGCTTTAGTAACGTGTCTCTTTAAGTTTGTGCCTGTATTGAAGCTATCGGCTTCGAAGTTTAAGCATTTATATGTGTTGGAGAATGGTTTTAATAAATAACTCGTAAACGAACTTGGGGAAATACACAGTTTCATGAGCATGGTTATTCCAGAATACGGAGATAACCCCACTGTAAATTCCGTATTTACATCTGCAGTTTATTGTAAGATTAATACAGAGTTGCGATAACATAGTCTAAAGAGATTATATAAACTATTTATCAAACGATAAATACATGATTAAGTTTTAGGTTACTTAAAATATTTTTACTATACAAATATGCATTTGAGTAAAAATTATTTTTAAGGTTGCTAACAATCTTTCTCTCAAATTTTAAATCATATACAGGGTGTCTCAGCGAGACCGGTCATTAGACGTTTCTTGGGTTCTGGCGAAAATAAAAATTTGAGAATTCAGACTTAAGTATTATTAATTACGATCTCTTCGACTAAAATATTTTCAGATTTCTTACACTTCCGGTTATACCGGAAGTCGCCACCTACTTTATTTTTTTAAATGGAACACCCTGTATATTTTTACATATTTGGATTTGTCTGTTTTGAAGGTTTATAAATAACTTTACTTTTTGCAATTTGATTCGNTATCAAACTGCTATTTATAAAATAGAGAAATCTAAGATTTTCATCTTAATAGTATCCATGAATTTAGCAATACCTTTATCTTCTCCAATACAAGATCATAACACTCAAAAAGGTTATAATTACTCTTAATATTTAAATTTATATACCAATTTTGCACTTTGAGGTAGTTTTAATTAGACAAAAACGAGGTTGTTTTCCACATCTACTTTCTAATGACAATATTCGCTGCTCTATGCACTGCAAAATACATGGAAAAAAAGGTGGGTCCTGTCAAAGAGGAATTTGTGTTTGCAAGCAGAAGAAGACATAAAAATAATTTATTTGTTACATATTAAATAAAATATTTTTTTGTTTAGAATCATTTTTCTTGTAATTCTTGTTGTCAAACCCCATAATTTTTGTAGTTCATCACAAAATAGAGTCTTTTAGCTTTAATTTAAGATATAAAGCACCGTTTAACTCCCATAAATACAAACAGAATATGATTTTGAAATTTTTGTATTTTTTGATATGTTTCAACATAATCTATATTTACAACTTTTTTTCAAGAATTTTTCTTATGTAGCTTTACATTTTATAATTCAATCATGAAATCGAGCAATGTCGTTCGGTATTTTGTTATAGAATTTTACTCCAAGAAATTTAAAATGGCACTGACTTTTTTCATTCACGTAAAGTGTCATGAGTAACAAAGTCGTCGAGATTCCACCTTACATATATTACACATTCCAAAATGTACAATGCCGGGAAGGTCACATATTATGATAAGATAGTATGTTTTGCCACATAACACCATCTCGTCCTCTAAGCAACACCAAACGAGTAGTCTCAAATCTACATTCCCTTGATAATCATGGCAAAATATTTAGCTATTGCTTTCATTGCTGCTTTATGTTTAAACATGGTTTTGAGCAACACAGTTCCAGAACCGGAGGGACAACCAGGTAATTATTTTTATCTCTAAAATTATTGTAATGTTTATAAGATCTTTTGTGGTTATAGGTGAAATTGTCAGGCAAAAGAGGGTAATATGTAATCTTTCAAGTTTTGAGGCTGGAGGAGTTGCTTTTCAGCATTCTGTTTGTGCGGCTCATTGTCTTTTATTTGGCAAAACGGGTGGATATTGTAATAATGGAGTATGCGTTTGCAGAGCTTAGAATTAAAATTTGTATTTGAATATTTTGTACAATAGAAAATTACAAATACTAAATACGATTTTATTTAACCCTTTTTGTCTTGACGGTACTTTAAAGTACCGGTAATTTTAAACACTCATTTTAAACTGTAGTTATCTATTCGGTGCTTTTAGAGCTGTCTGTACTTTCTACTATACAAGTGTATACAAGAAATAATCTGTATAAAAAACGTCGCAATCCGCACTGTAGGATTTTTAGGTACACTTTAAACTTATTCATCCAGATGTGAGGTTAGAAGTTTAGTGAAAAGTGGTGCTGTTGAATTTTGTTGTTCAAGAAGGTATTTCTTTGATAAATGGTTATTAGGTGTGATTATTACAGATCATTTTAAAAAGAAAACATTGAGCTTAAATTTAAAATAAGTCTCATTCCTTAATTTCAATAAACATGGTTTCTAAGAATTTTTAAATTAGCATCTTTTTTGACTCTTTTAGGTTATACGAAAATGTTAGTTTTAACTCAATATTCTTTTTCTCAATATTTTTTTAATTCAACCCATCGATTGTTATACATCGATTTAAACAGAAAGCTTCAAGTTTCAATTTAAAATAAGTTTTATTTCTTAATTTCAATAAACACGGTTTCCAGGAATTTTTGAAATAGCATCTTTTTTGACACTTAGACTATGCGAAAATAGGGGGATTACTGAGTGTATTTTGATAGCGTTTTAATTCTGTCTGATTCTGTCACAAAGTTTCAAAATGTTTGACTTCTTGGGACACAAAGGGTTAAAGCAGTAATTATAATAAATTAACAATAAATACTTCTTAGAATTAAAAAAATCTTGTATAATCTACAGGTGTCCTAAATTTGTTTTCCGCATATGCTATCTTCGAAACTAGAAGAGATATAAAAGTAGCTGACAATGTCATGATATCAAAAAATGTGTTTTAACGTGGTAAGATTTAAAAAAAATGGGCAATGACTTCCAGAAAAGAAAAGTTGAGCTGTTTTAGTTATGTTTACAAATCTCAATCAACTCTGACAAAAATATTGAGCAATGTTAGGATAGGTCAGTTTTCTTTTGAACCACAATTACAGCGTGAAGAAACCCCAATTAAAGCGTGAAGGAATGTTGGGATAGGTCAGTTTTGTTTTGAAACCCTAATTATAGCGTGAAGGAATGTCGATTTTCTTTTGAACCCCAATTATAGCGTGAAGGACTGCCGGTTTTCTTTTGTATCCCAATTATAGCATGAAGAAATCCCAATTAAAGCGTGAAGAAACCCAAGTTAAAGCGTGAAGGAGTGTTAGGATAGGTTAGTTTTGTTTTCAAACCCTAATTATAGCATGAAGGAATGTCGGTTTTCTTTTGAACCCCAATTATAGCGTGAAGGAATGTCGGTTTTCTTTTGAACCCCAATTATAGCGTGAAGGAATGTCGGTTTTCTTTAATTTAAGATATAAAACATTGTTTAACTCCCATAAATAGAGACAGGATCTTTTTATTAAATTTTAGTTACAATCTTTGTATTTCTTGATATGTTCCAACCTAAATTTACAGATTTTTTTCAAGAATTTTTCTTATGTAGCTTTATATTTTATAATCCAATCATAAAATAGATCATTTTAACTTTGATTCAAGATATAAATCGATTCAAAATAAAATTGGAATAATTTTTTAATGTTTATAGTTTAAAAAAAAAAAGAAATAGTTTAATCTAATTTAATAAAAATCTAATTTAGAGCTTAATTTTAACATATTCATATTGTATATTCATTAATGAAATTGTATCGATTATTTTAATAATTAATTTGATTAATAAAACTCAATTTGTTAACGAACCTACACTAATGTGTACTGCCATCTAGCGGAGTTTAATTATCCAATTAGTGGTGTAAACATACAAACAAGGCAGTTATTATTAGCTGTGTACACACAATAAAAAATTGCCAAAATCGGTTCTCTGGTAAATCCGTTTTGATAAGATAGGACTTCCCAGTTTCAATGTGAATCCCAGCCAAAATAATTTTTTGCTGTTCATTATCACGTATACTTACAAGAAGTTTGGCGGTCATTCTTTTCGTATAAATACACCAAACAATTTCTTGTTTTGCCATACAACACCATCTCCTCCTGTAAGCAACACCAAACGAGTAGTCTCAAATCTACATTCTCTTGATAATCATGGCAAAATATTTAGCTATTGCTTTAATCGTTGCTTTATGCTTAAACATGGTTTTGACCAACCCACTTCCAGAACCGGAGGAACAACAAGGTAATTTTTTTTATCTCTAAAGTTATTGTAATGTTTATAAATTTTATTTATGACGATAATTCTTTCTGTGGTTATAGGTGAAATTGTCAGGCAAAAGAGGGTAACATGTGATCTTTTAAGTTTTGAGGCTGGAGGAGTTGCTCTTAACCATTCTGCTTGTGCGGCTCATTGTCTTTCATTGGGCAGAAAGGGTGGATATTGTAATAATGGAGTATGCGTTTGTAGAAATTAGAATTAAAATTTTTATTTGAATACTTTGTATAATAAAAAATTAAAAATAATTAATACGATTTTATTTAAAGCAGTAATTACAATAAATTAACAATAAATACTTCTTACAATTAAAAAATTTTTGTGTAGTGTACAGGGTGGTTCAAATTCG